AATTGCCTCTCATCGCAAAGTACTCAGAAAATCAAATAAATAATATTATTAAAAAATATATTTGAATTGCAAACGATGTAATTATTGGCAACCACTGCAAAACTGTCTGGAATTACCCAAACGCATCGTTCTGCACGATTTTCCTCAAAATCGTCTCAAGTGGCCATATAATATAGTGTTTGCCATCAGTGACCGACAACACCGTGTGCCCAGTGGCGTAAATTTACGATATAAATGGTCGGGTGGGGGGAGGGGGGTCAGATTTTTTTTATGATTATCATTATTAGATACGACAGTCGTAGTGGTTTAGTGGTTATTGCAGTTGGGTGCACAATTTTTTTTTTTTTAAATAACTGCGCGCAAATCACTTGTGCGGTTAAAACCTTGTTGACCTCCATAATATAATATACCACCGGCCCAACTACATGCTATGAACACCAGGGTCTTTTGGACCCGCTGTCATATTGGTACATATTGATACATACATATTGGTAACAGACTCATGTCGCCGCTGCATGGTAAACAGCAGTTGTGCAATTGACCCGAATACATATTGTTTTTACTGGCAGGGATGTTCAAAAAACAGAGTATAGCACAGGTGACAGTGTATTTACAAATTTGGCGAATGTGATGAGATAAGGTTGCGATAAATCGACCTCCCCAATATGAGCCGCTCTCGTTTATCCATCCCTAGACGTTTTCACGGCGCAAAATAATACAACCCGTGTGACAGGTCGGATGATTGTGTTGCCGACAACGACGGCCCCAGGCTGCCGACTAATTCAGACCAAAATATTGGTAAATATCCGATTCACACTAGTGAAGACTATGGTGATAGAGGAAAAAATCGTATCCATTATAATATGTCAAGTGTTAGAGGTATGATATTTTGATATTTGTATGCAGCTAAAATACACAGATTTCTAGAGTTTCGGAGGAAATTATGAGAACCATCATTAAATAGACATCGGCAATTAGGGCTTGGTAATATAGAGGTACTTTGTAGAGGTACGCGTTTAGCGCAATGCAGTGTGCTATTCATCGATCCAGGACATGATACGGAACATTGTTTAATATCGATAAATAACGAAACGATATAGGTAGCAATTAGGTACACATAGATAATAATATAGAATGGATATGCCATCCCTATAGGCTATAATAAATAGCCCTTGGCGTTCCCGAAGTTAAGGTGCGTTATGGCCCATCGATACTACTGTTATACCTACCAGAAGCAATAATCAATAGATAACCATTTCGACTTTATAACTATATCCACTAATAATCGATAACAATTAAATAGATAAAATATTTGGCACTTTGAAGTTTATACTTATACTTAAATTAAAAATGTACAACTAAAAATAATATCTATAGAAAGCCGGCTTCGCAGCTATGTCGTCATTCGTATCGTGTCCAAAGTTGAGGTCTGTGAACCCGGTTTATGCGCTGGTTAAAAGAATTCCTTGTAAAAAAAAAAAAAAAATGTCTTTTGTTCATGGTACAAAATATAGTGCATTTTTCAAAGTTAGGTTATGACTTAGGTATGAGTTATGGGCAATAAATAGTTTATTAATTTTCTTAGAACTTAACTAACTAATTGATAGTTATTAAGATAACTTGGCTTTTTTCAGTTGTTTTTGGATTCCATAAAGTTAAAAGTAATTATTGAAATAACTAATAAGTATAATGTAAATATATGTACCTATAAAGTGCTTATAAATAATTAGGTATCTAACGATATTAAAATAAACAACCCAAAAAAAGTTAAAGACGGACGTACTCGTTTATCAGAAAATCATCTTGCATACGAGTCTGCAATGAAGTACCACATTGTATGTCTTTGTTGTCCTTGCTATCATAATATATCTATCACCTAACTATCGTGTGATAAAAGCGTATATCGAGTTCGAATCACGGATTAGAAAAATTATATTTTGCATTTTTTTTCGTAACGTAACGTTTTTCGATTTCGATTCCATGTGCCAAAGCAAAGACAAAATAATTATTATTATAATAGTTTTAAAACCCATGGCAACCATTTATAAACATAAATAAATAATGTAACGTTTTTTTGTAACGTAACTTAACATTTTTCGATTCTATGTGCCAAAGCAAAGACATAAAATGTCAAAAATACATTACCCCGTAGATTATCATTCGGGAACGCCTAGGAAGGGTGATGTGCTATCCATTCTACATTATCTATGTACATATTGATATCACATTTATCATTAAACAGTTGGCCAAAATATGTCAATACCATGAGAATATAAAGGCCAAAAAGGACGACCTAGACTAGAGGTGAACAATTATTTATTCATGCGCATTTCGCATTAAATCTACGTGTGTAAGTAGGTATAACGTCCGATATTGGTTCGTCTGTCGTCACCATACATTTAATTATAAATATATATAATTATTGTACCTATGTATTATAATCTGATATTAATTATGAAAATGTGATTATTATTATTATTATTATTACACCATTAAATAATTGTACACATTTTTTACACACTATGTCATTAAAAAATTAATTATTGTTTTTAATTATTATTTTTTACGAATTCGTTTGACCTGGAAGTACGAAAGCCCAGACGACGTCATGTATTATAAATTAGATTTAATAAGCAATTTAAATAGATTTTACAAGCAATCAGTATAAGTAAAAACTGGCTATTATGCGAACATAATAATATGTAAAATGATTTTATTTTGATTAAATCACCGGCATACGTTATTCTCATACATGTTGTATGTATATTTACAATACTGATGTTACATAATATCATCGAATATATATTGTATACAATATTATATTTATCTTACAAACGTTTTGAATATATTTTTAATCGTTAAAATTTGTCCATGTAACTAGTATAGGTACTAAACCAGTACTCCACAAGATATTGACCACCGCGGATTGTGAGGTATTTTGTTTTGACATTCCATAGCTATTATCTATATTATAATATACATTTTATAGTTATCGTAGTTTCGTTCATTGGACGTTCAAATAATTCATTATACCATCGATACTAATACTGTTCATGTTTAATCAACACAATATGAAATAATAATATTTTTGTATAGTAAGAACGAATAAATGAAAGCATTTTCGAATATTTCGATAAAGAAAAATATGAAATATCCTAAAAAATACACCGTTGCGGATAATCGTCGCCCGATTTTCCATTCGCATTTACTTTATATATATACGAGTGAACGTACATGTACAGTATAGGTACACCTATATAATATATATTATATAGAACGTAAATAATATAATATACAATATATAATATTATATATGTGTATACAGGGAAATCTATTGGACGTTTGTCGTCCCACCGTGACACGTCGCGTCGACCTATAATTTAAGCCCGTTAGACTTTCATCCCCCAACGGATCACCGGCTTTCGCCCTAGGATAGTAGGATCAATCGTATATATATATATAATAATGTTTTTATTGAATGTCACCAATTCAAGACGTCTAATAAAAACATCAAGAGCATAATATATTGTGGTTTGAGAATTGCCGTGGGTTATTCTGTCTCGGTACTGTCCACAATTTAAGATTAAATTACTATTTCCCAAAGCCGGCCGACAAACCGTTAAATCACAACGAAATCACATGCGTATTTACTACTTAAGACCAGCAACGACGTCCGTAGTCAAATTTTTAAACGTGAAGGGTGGAGATAGGACTTAATACCTACACAATATAATACAGTATAGATCAATAAAGTAATACCATTGGCCATTGCTATATCGTCTGTTTATGTGAGATTTTCCATGGGAATTTGTATAAAGTTGTATTCGTATATTATGTCATTTTGATCTATATTTAAATCTATAAATAGTGCACTCAAGACTTCGACAGTATACACTTTAGTATTTACAGTACATACTATTATAAGTGGAATAAAAGTATTTAAAACAGTTAAGTATATTCCATTATACTATTAATACTTAATAGTCCTGTGTATTATTCTTGGGTTTAACGACTTGAACCTGATTTGAGCATCAGAGCATCAGGCCATTGATAAACGATTTGGTAAAATAATTAGTTGTGTATATCACGGTCCGAGAGAACTAATGTGACCAAGATTACCAATTTAATTAAAAGCCACCGAGATGGTTAAAAAATAAATCTTTATGTTTTAAACAAGTTATTGAACAATTTCAATATTTTTTTTTATAATACAAACATTTCTGTATTATAAAAAATAACCCACTCGGGATATTAAAAAATACTATTTTTTCATAGATCATATAATACAATATAATTTAAAATATGAAAAATAATATGTCAAATATTATTTATAAGACAAAAATCTAAAATATCCTCAAATATGCATATAGGTAATAAAAGTTTTTTATGAATTCTGCAATCTAAAAATCGTCCAATTTTTTTACCTGCATAAATCTAATAAATATAATATGTGCAACCTAAAAATCCCCTCTTCTCACGATATAACATTATAATATTTAGAAATAATATTATATGGTTATAGAATATAGATAATAAAATAAATACCCACTTACCTGCAAAGTTACATAAAATCGATCATGTCAACAAATATAACCTGTCAAACGTATTGTTCTATGCCAGATCAAGATAAATTGGACGTGCATATCACCCTATTTGTTTTGTATAATAATTCCTTATAAGAGAGAAATAATAAAAAAATAAAAATAAAAACTACTTTCATTCAATAATTCAATACCGTATAATATAATACTATGTAAAATATATTCTATTCACGACAATAACTTCATACGGCGTCCTATATCTATATCCTACATAAATAGTCCATCTATCTAGTAGTGTATGATAATTGTTTATTTATAAAGAGAATTATGTATGAGAATATTGTACGATGGACGATTCAATACATATAGGTACCTCCTACGTCTCTATACGCGTTTCTAAATATAAATAATAAATAAATAATTTTGACCAAAGGAAATCCAAAAAAAAAAAAATGTTTTTCATTCTTTCAAATCGTATAATCTGTTTTGGAATTTGTTGGGCACTTTTCGTTTGTAGACGAACGGAGCTTCGACGCGTTTTATTCGTTTGTCTTTTTCAAACTTGTCGTGTGACCTCATCTCGATCAATAGCAATAACCCTGGAGAAAAAAAAAACAGTCGATCGTTGTGTCACGTGGGTGCAGTCATTATTTCATATCGCGTGGAAATCGCGGGAAAATGTGCGACTAGATATTGTTATAAATCATAAATATATTTGAGGTACCGATCGCTCACCTGCCAAAATCGAGCCGATCGCCAGCACGTAGAATGCCCCTTGTAGAGTTTTCATGGACATGGCTATGGTCAACTGCTTGTCGTCGTCTTCTTGTCTAGGTTCCGATCCTTCCAGTACTGGCTCTATGACCACGGAAGTCGAGTCGAATTTTTCCGATCCCATCAGCTTGTCGTTGAGTTTCTGGTACTCTTCTTCGGTGATTTTCGACAAAATACCGCCCTCGAATAGTCGCATCAACCTATAATAAAATATTTTACATTATAATATTATGTCCCGACCGACGCGATTCAAACATACATTATAAGCACGCACGTTCGTACGAATTTCCAACTCTATTCATACTAAAGATATTATTCAGTAGTAAATTATTATGTTATATTATGTGGGGTGATCCGTTCAACGTAAGACACGTCTTATTATATCAAAGGACACTAAAGTTTTTGAAAATATTTCTTTTACATAATTTTAAGTAATAACAAAACAACATTTTTGAAAATAATATATGGTTTTTTATTTATGAGCTTTTTTTTTAAATTTTTTTGAACGGTAACATACATTTTTAATTTCGTATACCGAAGCAAAATATTATTCGAAGTATTTAACTCCAAATTTCGATTTTTATAAATATAAGTACTGTAAAAAAAAATAAGGAATTACGAATTTATGTTGTCATTAAAAATATAATAATAAGTTTAAGTAAGATGATTTATCAAACAAAAAGCGTAAATTCACAATAATATTTCATGATTGCCTGAAGTTAGAATTTTGACAGAATTAATCAAACTTTCAAAAATTAATAAATTATATTTCAGTTAGAAATTCATAAAAATGTTTATTTTCATTCCTAAAATATTTGAAAATTTAATGGAAAATTCCTTAAAAACCATAAGTTTGTAATTTTTAACAAAAAAAAAGTTTACAAAAAACTAAAGATTTATTTTATAGCAGTGAAAATTAATTTTTTAATTATTAATGGCAATTATTTGTTGAAGTTTGCTACTTTACTAGGCTGAAATTACCGTCTAAGCTCAGAACCGTACTTCGTATACAAACAATAATTTATCATTACATTCAAATTGAACACATCCATTACAATGACGTACTCGACAACTACTGTACAGCAGAGCTGGTACCTACTTGTCCACCTTTTTTATTTTTAAATATCTTTGAGTATTATTAATGCTCCAAAATGTGACGACACAAAAATAAAAAAGATGATGAAAGATAAAGAAAATAAGGTGTACAAGTGGGTATCTCTCTGATGTTCAGTAGTTGTCGAGTATGTCATCTTAATGGATGTGTTAGATTTGAATTCAATGATAAATCATTGTTTACGAAAAACAAACCTGAGCGAAGGCGGTGTGTCAATCTAGCATACTAATATAAATATTCAAATTTATAATTTTAAAAAAAACTAATAAAAATCGAAAATATCTCATGGCTATAAATAGCGTTGCTTTCTGGCCAAATATTTTTTGTTAAAAGTATAAAACGTTTAAGGAATCTTCTATTAAATTTTCAGATGTTGACTATGAAAAGAAAATTTTTTATGAATTTCTAACTGAAAAATAACTTGCACATCATGGTCGGAATTTTGATGAATATATCAAAATTGAACTTTAAATGCATATAAAAAATAATCTCTCATGTACCTACTTATCTTTAATATTTTTGAACTGCTATCAAAACAACTTAAAAGAAATTTTTATTAAATTTTCAAGCTTTTTCACAAAGTTTACCGTTCACTAGTTTCAATAGTATGCTGTTAGTTTTCATACTACAGTGAATTGACCTATTATAACATGTTTAGATAATAACATTATCTGTGCTTTTATTCGATATTGTAATTTTCAAGCTAGATATGAGCATTTTCAATTTTTGATATTTCCCATACACATATTATCTTACTTGAAAAAGAAAATATTGAAAAATCGCCAACTCTAAATAAGCACAGATAATATTCTCACCTAAAAGTATGATAATAGGTCAATTCACTCTAATATTAAAACTAACAACACACTATTTAAACTAGCGAATAGAAAATTCGCTATGTCGTGCTTGTGTAAGACGGAGACAACAAATGCATGGATTGCGTCCTCTTAATAGTTTTTGAAATAATGAGCTTCTTATACGTTAAATGGATCACCTGGTACGCGTGTTGCTTGTATATATAGGACTGAGAGGCCGTGAGAATAACCCTATTGTTCCTATTATACCTGTCACGGGGAAAACGTCGAAACTCCGTTCACTTGTACAATATAATGCGACATTGCTACTACGAAAATTGAATTAATATAATGAGTCATGAGTGTACTATACGAACGCGTGTGAGACGTATGTAATACGAAAAATGTTATTATTACACGTCGTCGAAATTATCTCTGTACGGGCACGCCCGCTGGAACGCAATAGCCGAATACCTCGTGTTTAGCTTTTCGCTTAGATGAAAATGTTGGGCACCTGCGTGAAAACAAAAATATATATTATAGTTATACATATTATACGAGTAGGTACATATATCTCTCGCGTAATTTATGCGTGTAAAAATGTCGTAATATATGTATAGGAATTCTAGGAAAAAGCTCTTAAAAAATCCATTATTATGAGTCATGACCAAAAGTACAAAAAAAAATATTAAAGTATATGTTAAAATATGTTTTTATTAAATGTAAATTATAAATGTGCACTACAAACCCTACACCGTGCAGCGTCGTACAGAAAAGTAGTATACAAAGTACCTACATTTATGAATAATTCTCAAAATAGTCAAGGAATAAAATTGTATAAAACAAAAATATGAAATTCAAAAATTACTATTGGACTTTCATGTACAATGTTTCTACAACAAATGATTCGGCAAATATAAGACATAAACCTGCACCGGGATATATAAATTCACTATTTATACAATTAAGCCGATTAGAGACCACTCATCCTCTTTTCAAGGGGTTTTATATGTTGGTAATATGAATATTATAACGTTTTGAAAAAAATTTAAATTAAAAATCTTAAATAATAATATATAGGTATTTTGAAATTTTGAATACCAACTAATTCATAGTAACTTACAAGAGATCCCATATCAGTAGGTATACAATTGTTGGTTGTTGATTAAATTAATTACGAGATCATATCGAAAAATGTTTTCACACGTTAAAGAACCTAGAGTAGCATGAGTTAGCTATACAGTTATAGTTATAATAAAAATCAAATAAATTTATGCACCATCGATAAAGCAACATATTTTGCTGTGTTATAGCAGGTTTTCTTAGGTCCGTGAAGTTGGATGCATAATGTCAAAATTTTGGTTCCAAATTTTAGCAATAATTTGTAAGTCATTTGTAAGTTTATGTAAGCACAATTTGGTAATTTGTAAGTGCAGCCGTTTTCAGTTATAATCAAAAGTTTACATCACTGCTAACTTCCGCAAAACTTGGCTGTTTTGGCATTTCAAAGTTTTTAACTGTTCCAAATCGTCGTAGGTATTTTTAAGAACGAATTTAGAATTTGGAAGTCATCCCTCCCTTAATTATCCTTAAAAAGAAGTTGGCCGTGCTTTATTGAGCTTTTTGAACGTTGGCTGTCTGAAATTCTTAATTCATGCTTACAAATACTTACAAATTGCGCATGACGATTCGGAACTGTCAACAACTTTGAAATGCCAAACAGCCAAGTTTCGTGGAAGTTAGCCGTGATGTAAGCTGTTGATGATAGTTGAAAATGGCTGTACTTACAAATTACCAAATTGTGCTTACATAAACTTTCAAATGACTTGCAAATTTTGGAACCAAAATTTTGACATTGTGTGGTCAACTTTACGGACCGGGTTTTCTTTTTTTGTTAATACCAATATCAAGCAAGTTACTATTGTTTTAAAATCCATTATTCTTGAGTTTTTCAAAGTTAGACAACTTTTTTTATACTAATGATTTGCAAAAAATAAAAACTGCGACACAGAGAATATGGGTTTTTATTTAAAATTTGATTGGTCGTCTATTAATTTTTATTCTTCAAGAATAAGATGACTGTGGTCTATGGCTGTGCCCGAGTGGTCTATTTTTGAGGGAAACGGGTCCCGCCAAATAATTCGTGGTCGTGTGGCGTCCTTTTAGGTCTTCACGCGGCAGTGATCGCTTCATAATTAAACGTTAATCGCTATTACATCTATGAGGCGTGCTTAATTATGCCTGTAGCGGCTTTAATACCTTCGTTAAACAGTGTGAATAATAATATTCATCCATCGCGTGTCACATATAATTGTGGGTGTCTTACCAAATCGTTTGATATCGTAGTAGAACGTCTCTCGGCCTCCTATAACGGCGTAATTCTTGTTGTCCCTGACTAATTGCATTCCTTTCTCGGTAGACCCTATTAGGTATTCTCGTTGACGGGTCACGAGCTGTGACAACTCTTCGTATACGCCAGTGCCGTTCTAAACGTTTCGCGCGGCTAAGTACGCAATTGATATAAATATGTATATTATGTGGTGTGTGTGTGAGTGTGTGTGTGTGTGTGTGTGTGTGTGTGTGTGTGTGTGTGTGTGTGTGTGTGTGTGTGTGTGTGTGTGTGTGAGTGTGTGTTTTAATTAATAGGTGGGTAAGTATACATAATAATAATAAGTCGTCGGGTTTGCATCCAAAGTGTGTATAATATATTATAAACACTCACTTCTAACATTGCTTGCGAAGCACTTTGGACTTCGACCAATAGCTGAAGGCCGGAGTCACGCATAGCTTCCGATAATTCTTTCAATGTATTGATAGGAGGTTCTGTCAACGACAAAATTAATCACAGGGATTATTTGTATAGACATCAAACATATAATATTCTAAATACAACACTATATTATATAGGAACGAATTAAAAAAAAAAAACAATTTTAGTTGTTGTTATTAATAGAATAATATTTACATATTTTTGGGGGGTTAAAAAGGCTTCAACTTCTGAGGTAATTTGCCTGTAATGGTTATATAGTATTGGTCTTAAAACTATGGGAATACGTCATTATGTTTAATAGTAGAGGGTGTTTGAGAAATATATGTAAATGTATTTTTTTACAGTAATTTTGATAAGCCTATATTTGTGAAAAATTTTTATATATTTTTGGAGTTCTCTTCGCCAAGTGTTGCGTCGTTGATGGGTTTTCGAGAATTTTTCTGGAGCTGTTGTGGAATATGATATTATACAGTCGTAGAAGAGTGGAGGAGGCTACGGCGAATGTTGAGGGATGGATATGTCTGGTTTTCGTCGGGGGGGGGGGGGGGATGATTTGGAAAAAGATGTTACCAAGTTTAGTAATCTTGGTCTTGGTTTTTCTGTCAACTAGTGTAGGTCTTATAAACTCAATTGTTTCAAATAGTTTCTATGTGTTAGTGCTGGACCCTTTACTCAAATTTTGAACGTTAACACATTTGTTTTAGGAGATTTCTAAAATGTACTTGAACTGTGTAAAGGCAGGGCTTGCAAACGTTATAATAACGTTATGATTATAACTTTATTGTTGACAAAAAACGATTGAAATTTGTAAACGTAATTATTAAGGAAAGAGATAATCAAATACAATTAAATACCACAAAACCAAACATAACAATTAACAAAATATATTATATATCATTAAACAAAAAATAACACAAAACGAAATAATTTGAAATCCATGTATTTTAAATTTATATTGGTTGCATAGAAATGTTTATTTCATTAAAATTAATTTAGAATCGATTATATTATATTCCTTATCCAGGTCATTCCGGGCAATTACCTGCCCGCATTCGTTACTATTAATACATTTAATAGGTATTATAACACTATTCTAAATAACGATAACGCTAAAGTTGTATAACGTTTTAATTGTAAATACCTAATATAAAACAATTTTTTTTTTTAAAATGCAAATGCAAAAGCTCTGTGTAAAGGTCATAGGTATATTATCGTTTGGTCTGAAAATTGGCTAGACAGGTGTTAACTGTTCATTTATTGAGTCTGCATTTTTGTTGATGAATTGGATTTTAATTTATCCGTTAATTTTGGTTTTTCGTTATTATCTTTTGTCATTTACATATTTATGTATCGTTCTATAGTTATTAATCATTGTATAATATTATCTACATCAATATAAATTCGTTCTCATTTCTATCTATATACCACATCGTCCAAATTCAAGACTATAATATGTAATAATAGACAATATAGTCGTAAATAAAAAATTACCTTTTGGTGGTCTTGCTAGTATTGACGTTAGACTTGCTGAGTACATGTCGCCAATCACGTAAGTAACCGATAACATTAATAAACCAGCCACAAATCGGATTTTATTATTTTCCGATGGAATAATTGCAGCTGTTAAGATAGTTAATAATCAATAGTTAGACAGTAGTATGAAAAATATGTACAATGATTATATAAATTTCCTTTAAGCGCAATCGAAAGACTATACTGACAACCGTCGAAAAAGTTTGAAGAGGATGTTCAGTAAAGGTGAAAAGGTTTAAACTGTTTACCTACAGTGTTTGGGTGGTATTTTGTTCGGAACCCGGGTGTGATTTTTATTATTATCAGGACAAAAATGAGGCAAATCGCTATACATAAACAAATAAACAATGAACATTTAAAAAGGTTTACAAAATTGTTTCATGATAATAGGTAACGAATCAATACCTATGCCAAAAGTTTAAAAATTGCTAAAACTTACAAAGTATATCCGTTCGTATAATATATGCGTTGAAAAAGTGTCAAATATTAGATATGCTGTATTTTAAGCTCCATATCACCAGCCCCCCCACTTTGGAATTTAAAAACAAAATTAACTCCATTCGTGTGTGCTTTGTTTGTGCTGGTTTGTGCTTTTAATCTTGTCGTTTGTGCTCAACTCATTCCAATGTTATTCAACTTTCAAAGTCAGGGGCTGGGGATATTCTTAGCCCCCACTTTGGAATTTTAGAACAAAATTAACACCATTCGTTTGGGCTTCGTTTGTGCTGGTTTGTGCTTTTATCCCCGTCGTTTGTGCTCAACCCCTTCCAAAGTTATAAAACTTTGAAAGTTGGGGGTTAAAGTGTAATCTCAGGTACTCCCCTTTGTCTTGCGAATCTAATCAAAACTGTCCACATAATCATTTATCATTTTTACCTCTATGGTGTTTAGTCGTAAAACATTTTGTTTGAAAGAAAAACCCATACACTTGAGGATTAGAAAATTATTTTTTTTTTTTAAGTTTGTGCCATTTTCGGAAAAAAATATTTGCGACCCAACAAATGGACTTACAGCCTAATACTAAAGATATAATTGTGATACAGGTGGTACTTTAAATACATTCTACATATATTGGAAAATGAAATAGATGTGGATTAGAAAATAGTTATTAGAGTTTGAGAATTTAGTTATTTGAGAATTGTTCAATATCTGTTAACTATAGGTATATATATTTTATATTTAATACAATACAAATCCATAACCTATATAAAAAATACGAATACAAAATATGTTTGTACTGAATTGTTATATTAACATATTATTTATTATTATTTTTTTTACATAAGATATTAATTAGTTGAATATTATTTGTCATACTTAGGTTTTTTAAGACGATATTTAAGTTAACAAAAATATTATTAGGTAGGTAGGTATTATAATATTATAGTTTAATTTGTAAAATTATTTATTGTAGAAATGGTGAAATACATAAATTTCCTTAGTACCTTCTAACACGTACCATCAAATACGAATTACATACATTTTATTTTTAAATATAGAATTTTTTAAATTTTGTATTAAAATTTAATAATTGCCAAAAAAATGATCTTAACATAATTTAACACGTTCTGAAATTAATTTTATTTTTTTGTTGGGAATAAACTGATGCTATACAAAATAATCTTATAAATTTCATACTAAATATCTATTTACAAAAAATAAATAGTGAAATTCGTGTGTGGTTAAAGTAAGAGAACATACAAAGAACGTTCATACACATATTTATACTAAACGATACATAATCACATAAATACTAATTGTAATCAAAAATGAAATAGATCAGTAATTGTAATTAAAATAATTAAGTAGGCAGTTAAAATAATATGTGTTAGGTATTAATTAATTGATATTATAGAATATTAATGTTAGAATCTCACTCCTGCTTTTATACAACATTATTCTTAAATTTTACTTACATTATGCTCTTAAAAAACTTTTATTTGAACGATCGAATGCATTATATACATTTTTTAATTACGGTAAAAAAAACACCAAACAAAATGTGTTTATATAAAATATAATATAACTACAGTAGGAACTACTTAAATAGAAGTTTTAACTTCAAATTATAATAATTATTCGTCTTAAAATGATTATAATAACTACCTGATAAATATATTTTTTCGATACAACATTGAAGTGCGTATAAAGTTGCCACTCTAAAATGTTCGTATCGTTTTCAAAGTACATATTATCTATATTTTCTTTCCAAATCAATTGCAACCATTTGTAACATAAAACCCTTTACAAACTGCTTACAAACTTTCAGTTACGTTTTGATGCACATTGTTGAAATTGTGGGGGAATGCTGGAGAAATTTAGTCCATCAGTTCTAAACTAGAAAATCAATTTTAAAGATCCTAAATATTTTATTTATTCTTGATATTATTTATTTTTTTGCATATTTATTTATATATAATCGATAGATTATAATATTTATTTAATTTAAGTTTAATTCATTTTTTCATATGTTAGCTATTCACTTTTTGTAATACGATTTTTAAATAATAATATAAGCATTAAGCATAAAAAGAAAAAGTTATAAGTCCCTAAAAATAACAAATTTTAAATTACAAAAGAATAGTCAAAACCTTTATATTTCATTTAAATAATATGTAGGTAAACAAAATCATTAAGATTAGACCTTCAAAGTGTTTTCTAATCCACATTGGTGTGATTTTCCAAAATACATAGAATGTATTTAAAGTACCACTTGTATCACAATTATATCTTTAGTATTAGGCTGTAAGTTCATTTGTTGGACAAATATTTTTTTCCGAAAATGGCACAAACTTAAAAAAAAAAAAATTATTTTCTAATCAATCAATAATTTTCTATAAAATAAAATGTTTTACGACTAAACACCGTAGAGGTGTAAATAATTATGTGGACAGTTTTGATTAGATTCGCAAGACAAAGGGGAGTACCTGAGATTACATTTTAACCCCCAACTTTCAAAGTTGGATAACTTTGGAAGGGGTTGAGCATAAACGACGGGGATAAAAGCACAAACGAAGCACAAACGAATGGAGTTAATTTTGTTTTGAAATTCTAAAATGGAGGGGGGGCTGGGGACGTGGAGCTCTGTGTATTATGAATACTATGTGTAGACATAATATTATTTCAATTTTTAAATGAGGAAAATTATTTTCCTCAAAGTGCCTAGGTATATACTATATACTTATATTTATTCATTCAAACTATGCGAAAATGAGTGTATTCATTGGCCACTGCCCATTGACCAACTTGCAGAGGTTTATGCAGTTATATAAAAACAATACAGTAGAGGGTAGTCCGACAATTATTATTGTTTTCTAAAATAAATTTCCACTGACATATTAAACAGGCCCGTGGGGGTTCGGTAAACCCTCCACTACGCACTACACACCACTGCACGATTGATATTTAAATCAGTTTGGCAGGGATACGACAATATTTATAATTGATTATGTACATGGTATTTATTAAATTACTGGATATTTTGATATACAATGTAGAGCGAATTACGTCAGCTATTCACAACATATTATTTTTATGTTTTTGTTTTAAGCATAGAAACAATTTATTTTATTTTTGTGTTTAAATGACCGACAGAAATCCTTGCCCGCCGAACATAAGCTGTCCGATATTGGAAGAGAAACGTTTTCATTCGGAAAAGTGTATTAAATGTTCCTTTCACGTGATTAAAACCGAATACGATGACTGCAGGCAATATGTTTTATTATAGAAGCGTTGCTCTATTGTGTCGCTTTTTGTTCCAATTTTGCACTTTTCATTTTCGTTACTTTCATTGAACGCTCACGTACGTATACCAACCCAATACCCACATATATATGTGTGTGTGTGTGTAACTGTCAACGTCAACCACGAGACAACCACGCCGATAAGTGACAATAAGACGTTGAAACGGAATCGACCGATATATATCTATGCAGACAGTTAGTGTCTTTGACTGGTTTCTTAACCTCTCAATAGATTTTAGAAATTATTTGAGTACGAAAATCTACGGACTACATATATTTTATTGAATTTACATTTGTGACTACGAATCATGTATAAAATTCCAGATTTTACAGGGCATCTATTCAGACAATATTATGTTGCACAGCGTTCTAATTGTTAACATATAACTATACCCACGAATACTATGACTGTCTATTTTGTACACGACAGCTGCTGCTATACGATGTTATAATATATGCTATATTCTAAACTATTAAATTATATTATGTATAACATCCTGCAAACTATTACAATATGATCATCGTTACAGAATAATATATTTTAATATATGGTAGGTATAAGGAGGGGGGTGGTTGGGTGTGTTGCATGTACAAAATTATACAAAAGATTTATTTTTATTAATTATATAATATACATATATTATTGTAATAAATATAATGTAATAATTGTTACCTTAAAGCGCATTTAAAATAATATTATTAAAACAAATATAGCGGTTATAGCTGGTTTACCTCCGAAGATTGGCGTCTGTTAAATGTAAGCCTACAGTTATACTGACACGGCGATGGGTGCATAATAAATATGTGCGTATAATGTAATTTCGTAAAAGTTAATGTAATACATTACCCTGTTGTAAAAACACCGTAACAGACCACCACACGCACTTCCAATACAACATAGATTTTCCTTGGGGATGGCCGTCAGTCGTGTCAACTAATATGTAAAGTATTGGACCGGCAAAAATAACTGTGATCAATAACAATGGCCAAACCTAAACAGTCCAAGTGCACATATAGATAGGTGGATACTATATAGGTACGTTTGTTAGGGCAAAAAAAAATTACTATTGTTTTCGTCTATTATAGATAATGTATACATATACCCAGAGTTGTGAGTACATGTGACGTGTGTATTATGTAGGTATTCCATTTTTTTAATCACTGTTGTACAAAGCATATGATATAACTATGAGTTATAGTTATATACTTGTACCGTGGTAGGTGCCAGTATGTTATTACAGTTTTCTCAATAATGTAGTTCCTCTATTCATTGTATGAAATTTAATAAAATAAATCAATTTTTTTAAGGCGTGGTACCGAATCTATAGTTTTTGTGCATGGCAGTGAATTCTTTTCCTCGTCTTCTTTTTAAACTTTTCGTTAGGTTAAAATGTATAGCGTAATATAATATTATATAAAAACCACATAGTATAGTTGTAGTAATTAACTAATAACATAGTGCTAGTTGTCTATCAAAGTATCTACCTCACGTGTTTTTGTTTATTTTGATTAAAGATTTCTATTATTTTGGTAGGTACCTTATTTTTAAACCAAGTTTATAGCTAAACATAGTATTTTACATTTATAAGGATAAAATTCGTACACTAACATAATATAATGATTAATGATTAATAATTACTGATTACTGCTCGTGGCGTTTAACTTACCGACCAATGAAACGGTCTGATGAGTGAAAATGCTTCGTTCAAACGGCCAGGGGCGTGTGTCAAGAAAGCTTCATTGTCGACTAATGTAAGGAATGAAAAGTCTACCACCAAATTACGCTCGTATGTTATAGACAAATCTCCGACGAACCAATCTGCTTCCTTTAGTATTCAATAATTCCATAATTATAGTATTAAATTCGGTTTTAGATAACCTACTGAGACTTAACAAGGTGTCACACTTATCATCTAGATTGTTTTCTTTGTCTTTCACTTGGATTTAAGTAATGTAGCAAAACCGTAAACAATCTTTAGTTTCATGATAGATAATTGAAAATATTATTTTAAGATTAATATTATCGTATAAAACAACATTTTATTTTCTTGAGAAATACGTATCCTATGGTTTAATACTATTATTATAATTCTATATGATATGATTTTAATTGGTAAAATATATTTTATATATTATAATAACGATTAGTTGTACTTACCCTTTGCCATATCAAACCCAATACTCCTTGCATTGATGACCCGCGATCGAGTCCTGAACCTTGTGTACGATCAGGAGGATCTATGTATCTGAATCTGTATGTATAATTATATCATAATTGTAAGTAAAACGTGTCTTATAATCGACGATTTTAATTATTGAGTTAAATGTTTAATTGTATATTTACTGAAAATGTAGCTTGTCGGCCAATAGATTTATTAGTTTATCGTCTCGTCCACCCTCTACTCTGAAACTGTCGTTCAAATATTCGACAAATGTCCATGGTGGCTTCTACAAATAGAACATAAATAATTAAAACAATGCTTAAGTATTATACAGGGATAAATTGGAAAACAGCCATCAGGGCATCCTGCAAGTTTAATAATTTACAATATTATAGTTCGTATTTGTATGGAGAATTTCCATTTAAAATCAAAATCAAAATTAAAATATGTTATGTTCTTATTAATATATTAATAGATTACCTATAATATATTTATTTATTTATTTAACATATAATAACATGCGTTAGTCCAATTTAAACAGTACGTTAGTCACAATGATACGTCATACAATATGGTTTCGATTATGATGATGTGCAATGAGGACTGAAAATTACAAGTTAAAATTAAAAATTAAAATACACTATGAGTTAGATACTTAGACATAGCTACATTTCTCTCGATTTCTTAATATCGAATATATATATATATTATACAAAATATAATATATAATTGTATAATTGTTTAGGTATATAGAATTGACAGTATTTTCATAACATTCTGAGAGGGTTCTGTGATCTATCATCTATAGATCACACAATTGTTCTTAATGACAAATAGGTATCTAGTATCTACTATAGGTATTTCAAATAAAAAATGAAAAACCATTATATGCTCGTTGTGTATGCAGTTAGATGTAAAATAATCGCAAAGGAATTACGTAGGTAGGTGCTTCTACTAGGTACACATTCATACGTATATATACACGCGTTTAGCTTGCATGTTGTACATAACGTTGTTTAAATACATTTACATTTTTATGGAGACTGTTATTAGGGTGGTGCGCTTAAATTGTTTTCGTGAATTTATGTATGGAAATATTCAAAGTGCTCTCTCTCTCTCTATATATATATATATATATATATATATACATACCATGGCTCTTGTATAATTTTAGTTTATTTATAAAGCGTACATGTAAAACTGGAACGTTGAAATATCTGCCTTCGAAGTTCTTGTACACCTGTTTGGGCGGCGGTAACAGCGGGAACCTCACCAACCCGTCCATTGCTGACCACCAATTTACCATTTTCAGGCTCGATCCGTACCCGGGTCTTGCGCTGGCCTGACTGTAATAAATCTGGTAGCTAAAAATAGATTAACAGTGATGATATCCGTCATAATATAAATTGTATAGACAGCAACGATATCAAGCGAACATTGAATGCCTATATAATATGTGGTTCATTGTTATATGGTCGAAAGTATAAAATAGGTCGAAACCAACGAGTATTTACAAGCACAAGAGTACGTATAATATATTGTTATATTGTATGCGAAGGTACAGCGCGTGATAAAAACACGCCGATTCTCTACTAACGCGAGTTTAAATTGAATTAATACTGTTGTGTATGTATGTATGTACGACGGGATTGTGTCGGGGGACGAGATCCCTAAATTTATTTTTCAATTTTATTGCAATAACTCCGCTGCACCGCCCATTAGATAATGTGCGTCTTGGGAAAAAGTTATGTTGTTGATATCCTTCTCATCCTCGGCACCCGTCTGCCGGGCGGGGTCTCTGTGGCCCGAAAGTCGGAGCTTATAGGGTGGAAGGACCGGTGTAACGATATTGTTATTATTGTTATTATTATTGATGAGAGGACTGCCACACTCACAATCCCGGTCTGGGACTGGTGATGACGCACACGCGCATCGCCTCCAGTATATCAGCCTTGAATGTTCGACTGACGGACGACCGTAACCATAAAAACACGTACACCACGTTCCGAGACATCAAGTTACCTCTCCGGATCTGTGTGAAAAACAGAAAATCACCTTCGCTATGTAAGCCGAGTAAACGGTAAATATTTTGTATGTATAGTGACATTACTGCCGACAGCAAGTTTTCCATGAGCGTAGACGTCGATAGTACTATGTAAGACGTGTGATGTCCGTCGGCCACTGCACGGCGGATGTCGATCAACAGCTACATTTTAAAACAATAATAAACTTTTATTGTTTACAAATTTTCAATTTCATTGTATGTATATACTTTGAACAAGCGACTACATAAATATCGGTAAAGCCAGTGTCGGCCTGGCATATAAAAGGCCTCGGCCGCAATTTTTCTCTGGGGCCTCTATTTTTTTTCTTCATTTACTATATATGAACAATTTTGTTCCTAGAGTTATTGTATATCCCCCCCCCGCTCAATCAGCCAATGTGTAAATGAATTATTTTTTGTAAACTAACTTATGATATATTATGTCAGAATTCAGTTTTTTTCTTATGAATAAAAATAAAAAATGACTATAGTTGTGTGATTAAAGTGAAACCTGTATATTGAACAGCACCGTTTGATGCTGACCGTTAAACGCCAATTATTAACGCTGACTTTTACCTTCCTAACCCCCCCTCACCAAATAGTCGCTCGATTAAAATTTTTCCACTTTTACAATTCTCTACTAAAGTCTAAAACCAAGTATTAACTTCTGACGTGCTTAATGATACACATGATTTTAATAAGTTACTAAACAAAATGTAATTCAAATTACGAAAAAGATATCATCCAAAATATAATAAAGAAGACGAACAATGAACAAAAGTTGACACAACATTATTTTTAAAGAAAGTAATAGCTAAATATAAAAAACTTAAATACTAAATGAGCAATTCATGTAACATTTTAGATGACTTAGGTAGTTAGGTAGCTATAGTATCAATAATTTGAGTTTTCTGAATCTTGATATCTTTTTCAATTGCAATAAGCATTAAATGTTGTTGACTTATTGTTGATCTGATTTTAGACTTCACAAGTTTCAGTTTAGAAAACATCCTTTCACAAGTCACTTGAGTAGAGGGTAAAATAAATACATATTTATAAACTGTAAATAAATTATGAAATGAGTTTGAATGAAATGAAAGTTCTTTAATTACTTAACTTAATTGTCTTACTTCTTTATTTCGATATAGCGCTAATGATAATAATTGATTAGACAATTTATCAAACCTATTGTATGGCCATACAGGGGCCCCACACATAGACGTTATTGACTTATTGTATTTGTACTCGTTACGATTTTCCCGACAATTTTGTTGTACAAAAAATCTTATGTGCGTTCAAATCATCTCGTTTATCATTACATTTGTACTACACCTTATACGAGTAAACAGCACACCGCACACGTATGCACCATGACAAAATATAGATTCTATTATATCGTACTAGATAGTAGATACGTGTTTGTAGTGATTGTACACTACACTCAAATTCTATAACTTATACACAGGGCCGGATTTAGGATGGTGGGGGCCCTAGGGCCCATCATCTGGCCATATAAGGTTGACATATAACTTACTGCATAAGCTGAAAGGTAATTATCTCGTGGGGGCCTCTTATTTTAATTGAATCTTGTGGGGCCCCGGGCCCCGTGGGCTCTCTCTAAACCGGCCCCGTTTATACACTTCGTCAGTAGCGCAACTAGGCCAATTGTCACTTTCAATGAAGGGCTCTATTAAAGTTTTTTAAGATTATTTTTGTGAATAAAAATTGGGGTGGGCATATTGATTGTAAAAATTGTTATCCAAATCTAATATAGAAAAACAATATTTTTAGTTAAGACTTCGGCTGGGGCCCCTGCAGCCTGTGGGCCCTAGTGATCAACACTCCCTCGTTCATCGTCGTACATTTAATTGTACCGTATATTTGACGCTTTGTTGACTACTCTACGTTGGGGTGGTGGTCCTGGCCACTAATTATAAACTAAAAAAAAAAAGCTCAGGGCCTCGGCCGCGTTCGCGGCCCCGCGGCCCTGGCCAGGCCGACACTGGGTAAAGCACAATCGGATTTAACGAAAAATGTCTGTAGTTTATATAGGTAAGTATATAATATTATTATATGCATTTATATTTTACAGTTTATACTTGCAACAAAAACATTTATCATCCTTCTATATTATTGTCTATTGACTATTGTATATTTGTTCCTGCGGGCAACTATCATATTATATCGTGAAGAATTTATTACTACCAGTAATTAACCATACACCCAAGTATTCCATTTATACTTTAAGTAAGTATTTAGTATTGTATGTACGATGCACGGATAGGTTGTTATTTTGAGGGCAATTATATTTTATTGTTTTATAGTGATGGATAACGATAGAATACTATTTGAATTGTAGCCTTGTAAGTACCATACATTTTAAACTGAGTCAATAGGATAATGAATATTCATTAATATTATTAAAAAAATATATGTATATAGGTATATGTATAGAGATACGCGCCACGTTATTATAGTAACGATACGATAAAAACGAACACAATAGAAATCATTCATAATACTACAATAAACAGTTTAATCTAATGAAAATATATTATTTTGTTTTGCGCACTTGGCGTATATAGGGTGGTTCACCAATCACGACCACTCACATTTTTTTTTAATGAATTTATTTCAGTTCTGAATTTTGGAATATGTAAGTATACCTATACTCAAACCCCGTATTTTAAAAAACTCGAAATTTTTAAGGCATTTACAAATTTTTCTATATATATGCAAACTTATTATTTTTCAAAAACATATTATTGTGTATACATTAAAATTTATTCAAGTAGATTCTGCATTACTAAACTTTGTATAAGTACTATAGTCTATAAGGATAAGACTTCATGATAAGTTTAAGGATATGGGGTCTATGATATGAAAATGATAGTGATTAATATTAATATTATATTAGCATTTTATTTTTGTAAGAACTATCTAAGTATAACAACTAATAAGTATTAGACTGAATATTATCTCTATTTTAGAATGGATATTTTATTATGCTTGGTAGGTAAGAACCTATAATAAAGTGTACTAACTCTGAACTCTACTTAAGACTTACTCGTTCGAATTTTTATATAGGCAGACGCAGATGCATGCCATAATATTTTTAAAAATATCAGGTAATGAGAAACTTACATAGTAAATGGTGGATCTGATTTTAAAAAACATGTAGATATTGCTGCTATATGACACTCCTTCAAATAATAAAAAAAACCTTAGTATTTTATAATATGGTCTATAAGTATAGGTATTCATACATTTCAAAAACTAAAACTCGTACAGGTAGTTGTATAAAATAAATACATTATTTGAGGATACAAGTAAATGAGCACGATCATGGTGAATCACCTGTTTGGCTGTTTACGTACATTACGTATTGAAATATTATAGATGCACTATAATATATATAAATTAGACATTATAAATAAGCACTAAGAATCAACACATTGCTCCTGACCTTCTAGATTATTATGCATTATTAAAATGACACACGGCATTTATCAACAAGTCACGACAGAACTCAAAGAAACATTTAGCAGATTCGGGGATCGAAACCAGTTTAACCAAATTTCTGAAAAATTATTTAAAACCGCGGTTTTTTTATATACGAACACCGTAACCGGAACCGAAACCAAAAGCTATAAAACACCGGTTAAAAAACCGTAACTGAAACCTAAAATCTTAAAAGAACCTTTTACAAAACCGTTCTTAAAACTGATTAAAATTTTAAACTAATATAGGTTTCTTGAGAAGTTAAAAAGAGTAATTTTATGCGAAGAAAATATTTTGTTTCAATCCCGATGCTATTACTTAGTATTACATAATATTATTAGTAGGTAATACGAATATTATTATTATATTATTCTATTTCTTCTAATTTGAATTATTTGTGTATATTGTTATTTATTAATGTTATTACAATAATTGTTTCGTATACAACTGTTCTGCGTCCGTTCCGCAGTCATCAATCGCCTATATCATTATCATCAGTCTTCCGAGTGTGTCCTGAATCAAACATTTGTGTACCAAATAGAATAACGTGTATTTGAATCTTCACAATAAACCTTTTTAAATAAAAATATTTTCAATAGTCCAATACACTTTTTAATATCCATTTAAATTAATATTTTGTTCAAATATCATAAGAATTCATCACATAACAAGAGATTTATCATACTGTAATATAGTGTGATGTTATTGTAAATTGCAATTAAATATTAATGTAATCAAATGATCTCCAGTATCAACCCTATTATGTTGTATGACAAAGTATAGGTAAACATATTAAAGTTAATAACACGAAATTAGATCTGCTGAACATAAGTTTGTTATAATATATTGTATGTACCTTCACTATAATTATACAAATAGTTCATATTTTAGGGCTTTAGGCTCAGCCCTTAATAGTTAAAGAATAGTAAAAATCGAGCCTACATTATTAGCTACAGAAAATAAAATGAACATTTTCAAAAACCGTTCTTGATACCGATAAATTCAAAAAACCTCTTTTGAAACCGAAACCAAAACCAAAAAAATTGAAAAACCGATCTAAAACCTCAACCAAAACCACAAAATGTAGAAAACCATTCTCAAACACCAAAACCATTGACAGTTTGAAACGGTTTCGATCCCTGAGCACTTAACTAATTAAAATATGTAAACGATATTATAGAGTTGTCAGACGTGTCATTTTATTGATATAAAAAAAACCTATTACAATAACGGATACTTCCTTGAATATATAATATCCTAATTAGGGCTGTATACCATGTTACATATGTTGTGGAGGCACCGTGAAAGTTAGAGTACGTTTAGTTTAGGTGTATAATGTACTGTATGTCTGTGGTAAGGGGGGGGGGGGTAATGTGGCCATTGCCTGTACGTAATTTAATAGCATACATATAATATGGCATATCATTTAGTTTATAAAGTATTTTTGGAATGAAAATGTGTTAACAATAATGTTATATTAGAATAGAGATATAATACTCATTAATAATGAGTCATTATAGTGTACCAACAAATAATAATATACGAATTTTATCTGGCCATAGGATTTTAATCTTGGCACTGGTGGA